GTATACAAATTTATTATTATCTACACCAAATATTTTCTCCATACGCGTAGTCAGTTGATTGAAAAACAGGTAAAAATTCATAGTCTTTTACGAAATATTCCACTAACGGTACTTGTGACACTAACGCTACGTAAAACTTCTATAAAGTATGGTGAGTAATTAAAATATTTAACTGCAGTTCATGTTGTTAAGCATTCTCCAAAAACGTAGAAGGACGTGACTTATTTTATGTTAGTTTTTTGGCCGATGTTATTAGTAATACGTCTTGACCATATTTATGAACAATACGTAATTCCAACTTTAAAATCCTCGAACAAAATCAAAATATCTAAACAATTTGTGCAATTCCTGTAAGATTTATAAATTTTACTCTTTTTATTCGTCAAGCGAAAATCTTAACCCTAACAAATAAAAAAATACATATCAAAAGACACCTGTATCAAAAAAACTTCTCCATGAAACCCCGCAATCCGCAGGTTTTAAACTGATTTCGAAGCAACAAAGCGGCATTGTCAACCACAATGTTTATCCCCATACAATGTTGATGGTTCCACAATGGACTAATCTCGCTCCAGCATTGTCTTACCTCGTGATTACCCAATTACCCCAGAGTCAACAGAGTTTTACCCTGTTTACCCTTCATGCACACATTGTCCCATACTTTCTATACCGTCCACTTTCCTTCAATGGCAACAGGAAATAGTAGTAGATTGTTGGTAGAAACAACAAAGGGGTTTTTGTGACCTTTGGACTCGAATTTTGTTTCTCACATTGTGTGGAGGAAAAGAAATAGGTAATGTTATAACAGGGACGTATTGTTTTAGGTTTTTAGCAAATTAGTATGATAGATACTGTAATATATTTAAATATTGATTGATTGACGTTATCCATGTTCGTAAACTTTTTAAATCATTTATATATACATAGAGCTTTCAAATCCTCTATTTTAGTACAACATAACATAACTTCAAATATAAAAAATATAATCCATGTGGTAAATTAAACCAACGGTGCACACTGAAATGAATATATTTTCTTTAAGAGGCATGTCTCGAAACTTAGTTTATTTTCTAACTTCAATAAATAGTAAACACGTAATTTGGTTTTGTTTGTACAGATATTTTTCCTGTACATCTCTTACCAATGAAGACTATTTTTCATCTGATTTTAATTTCATTTCAATCAACCAAAAAAATTGCACCAATTTATCAAATAACATCAACATTCTTAAAAATCTACATTCAGGAAACAATGGAAAAGTTCTGAAACAAGTCAAAATAATGGATTCAATCGAAAAATATCTCATACTTAAAGCAAACCAGAATAATCCCAATTATATTTAAAATAACAAATCCCTTCAAGAAACCCAATAAAAAATGCCCCAATTAAATAAATAAATAGTTAATAAATTTCCAAATATGTACTGTCTCTTGAAAATATTATCTGTTAAATCGAATTTTATCCAAACCAAACCAATAATATAAACGAATGTTAAGTATCTACTTTTTATTGAGGCTTGAAAATGGACTACGTTTCAAAAGAATTCACTTCAAGAAAAAATGTATTAATATCAGGGTGCGCAGTTGTTTTCAATTTACCATCTTAATAAATTAGCAACCCTATTTTGTGAAAAAAAAACTATAAATATAATTATTTCAATCCTCATATGTACCTAAAAATTTTGTAAAAATTTAATTTAATTTAATTTTGTAAAAATTACACTACTAAACCCAACGTAAAAATCTATAAAACCATAGACTAACCAACACAAGTAGACTTCTCATCCCATTGTAAATTTTGAAGCACGTTTTTCGTGTCTAGTTCATGTAAGAGACACAAAGGCGCTAGTGTCGATGAAACTTTGTTTCCGTTATTTTAGGGTTTATTTCTTGATTTTTGCTTTACTGTTTGGTTATATAACTAGGGGACAAGTTATTGTTTATGATTAGATCGTATTATTTGGTTAAACGAGGTTTTAAATGGCTGTAATAACGGGAAACAAATTGTAAACAAAACACGACCTCTACATAAACCGTACATGAACTAACAATAAAATTGTCTTCAGCTGTTCCATAAGGATGAGAAATCTACTAAGGGAGTATGTTTTATCTATGATAAAAATTACAAATTACCACACGAATTAAAAGGTTAACACCTGCTCCTATCTTAAATGAATTACAATCCTAATGAGCCTAATTATAAAGTCAAACAAGTAATCCATTGAGAGAAAATTACTCTAATAAATCTCATGAATGAAAATACGTTTGCGAATATGACTGTAGCATCCGGTGGTCGAAAACCGCGGCAAGACAAGAGATGATAACGAATTGGCGGGAAGACAGCGTTCCCAGGCTGTTATCACTAGCGCTTCTCTTATCATTGAAGTGGGCAGTGTGAACCAAAGTGTGACCATTCACGCAGCTTTCCTATCCGTCGGACATCCGTCAATTGATGGTTATCTCTGCGTACCACGTGTTTCATTGTGTTTAAATCTGCCTATTGAAGGCGAAGAGAAGGTGAATAGTTTGCTGTTTTTATAGATTTTTTTATGAAGTTGTTTGTTGTGATTAGTCCAAACGTCTATGTAGACTATTCTGTGAAGTATATTGTGGGGTAGATCCAGGTGACTTAATTGTATGGGTAATATTTATCAATGAGACGAAACGAAACTCAACGTCCGCTTGTCACGGCTTAGAGTAGTAGTTATTTTAAGACTTCCAAAAAAATTTTATTTTTCCATTAATATTTTATTAATTTAGTCGAAAAAATCTAAAAAAATTTCTATACACATAGGCTACGATTTCTCACGTTTAGCAGAAATGGTCAAATTTAAATGTATTTACATTATACAAACTATTGAGTCTTGAACTGAAAATGTTGAATAGTTTAATTAGTTCCACGTTTCCAAACGATATATTTGATATAGTCTACTCCAGTAAAATATTGATTTAAAAATCACAAACACTTTTTTTAGGGGAAATGGTCCAAAATTATCACATACAGATTTTCTATAAGCACACCTAATCAGCTTTTGAACGTATTCAATTACAATTTTATGATTTATGACAAAACGTGTTATATGTATTTCAATTAACTTAACACCAATACATGGATTATTAATTTACTGTTGTCTTCTCATATACCACCTCAATATTTTACAAATTTTTAGTCAGTTACATTTTTCATAATGTTTCCAAGTGCTCTTTTGACAGTAAAAATGAACAGTACGGCGCCACGTAGAGCGCTAGTGTCGCTGGTGACGCGACCAATCAGTGTTTATGACCAAACTGTCAATATATGGCGCGACAATCCGTGGAGTGACGTCACCATCACACCCTAGTACAAGGTGAGGATAAAACATGACTAGCCAATATCACTGGTGTAATACACAAAACAACCCTGTCGATTTTAATGCGTTCCACGTTTCATACTTCATACGTATCAAAGGGCGTGTAGACTAGTTCATGAATCAAGTAACTGCCAGAAGAATGCAATGAAAAAATGTGCTGTGTAGACACGTGATTACAGTTGGGTAGCTAAGTGGGAATCGTGCTCACCTAGTTATATGAAGAACTTTGGTTCTAAATTGTCCTTGATGACTAGGCTATGCAGTCCTAGGCTAATGATTAAATAGGAATAGCGGAAAAACAGCTACAGTAATCTTAGGACGAGGGTATTGACGTCAAGAACGAGGAAGGACCTCTGGACCCCCAGGTACCCCCGGAGCTGGAGGTGCGAGGTTGTGGTGTCTAGAACATATAACTCATCCTGGCTATATTACAGGTAGTGGTGACGAGGGTGACACTGGGGAGATGAAGGTACCTGACCAGGAGGATGAGGGTATCGACGTTATGAGGGAGGACCTCTGGACCCCCAGGTACCCCCGGAGCTGGAGGTGCGAGGTTGTGGTGTCTGGACCACATCACTCATCCTGTCTATGTTACAGGTAGTGGTGACGAGGGTGACACTGGGGAGATGAAGGTACCTGACCAGGAGGACGAGGGTATCGACGTCAAGAACGAGGGAGGACCTCTGGACCCCCAGGTACCCCCGGAGCTGGAGGTGCGAGGTTGTGGTGACTGGACCACATCACTTATCCTGTCTATATTACAGGTAGTGGTGACGAGGGTGACACTGGGGAGATGAAGGTACCTGACCAGGAGGACGAGGGTATCGACGTCAAGAACGAGGGAGGACCTCTGGACCCCCAGGTACCCCCGGAGCTGGAGGTGCGAGGTTGTGGTGACTGGACCACATCACTTATCCTGTCTATATTACAGGTAGTGGTGACGAGGGTGACACTGGGGAGATGAAGGTACCTGACCAGGAGGACGAGGGTATCGACGTCAAGGACGAGGGAGGCCCTCTGGACCCCCAGGTACCCCCGGAGCTGGAGGTACGAGGTTGTGGTGTCTGGACCACATCACTCATCCTGTCTATGTTACAGGTAGTGGTGACGAGGGTGACACTGGGGAGATGAAGGTACCTGACCAGGAGGACGAGGGTATCGACGTCAAGGACGAGGGAGGCCCTCTGGACCCCCAGGTACCCCCGGAGCAGGAGGTGCGAGGTTGTGGTGTCTGGACCACATCACTCATCCTGTCTATGTTACAGGTAGTGGTGACGAGGGTGACACTGGGGAGATGAAGGTACCTGACCAGGAGGACGAGGGTATCGACGTCAAGGACGAGGGAGGCCCTCTGGACCCCCAGGTACCCCCGGAGCTGGAGGTGCGAGGTTGTGGTGTCTGGACCACATCACTCATCCTGTCTATGTTACAGGTAGTGGTGACGAGGGTGACACTGGGGAGATGAAGGTACCTGACCAGGAGGACGAGGGTATCGACGTCAAGGACGAGGGAGGCCCTCTGGACCCCCAGGTACCCCCGGAGCAGGAGGTGCGAGGTTGTGGTGTCTGGACCACATCACTCATCCTGTCTATATTACAGGTAGTGGTGACGAGGGTGACACTGGGGAGATGAAGGTACCTGACCAGGAGGACGAGGGTATCGACGTCAAGGACGAGGGAGGCCCTCTGGACCCCCAGGTACCCCCGGAGCTGGAGGTGCGAGGTTGTGGTGTCTGGACCACATCACTCATCCTGTCTATGTTACAGGTAGTGGTGACGAGGGTGACACTGGGGAGATGAAGGTACCTGACCAGGAGGACGAGGGTATCGACGTCAAGGACGAGGGAGGCCCTCTGGACCCCCAGGTACCCCCGGAGCTGGAGGTACGAGGTTGTGGTGTCTGGACGCGAGGCGTGATACACCGAGGGACCCGCTACGGACCTTTCTTGGGGAAGTGGACTTCAGATCGTCCACACGATCCGCAGACCTACTGGGAGGTCAGTGACTCTATGTAGGCCTACTTTATATTTATGAAACCATTGTTTCACACGTTATCAGTATTGGAGAATTTTCACTAGTGGGGTACCATTAATCCTCTTTGTTCTACGAAAGTCCCCATTACTAATGAAATCACAAATGAATAATACAATGGCGAATGCCATAGTATTGGCATCATAATTCAGTTTGCCATAGTATTGGCATCATCATTCAGTTTTGTGATAACCTTTTATCCTAGTGTCCACGAGTAATGTAAGAAGAAAAAATATCACCTTTGCCAGAATCTGTTGTACTGTATTATGTAAGTATTAGTACATTTCCTGCGCTGGCACACATGCATATTTATCTAACTCTACAGTATTACTAGAGGAACCAAAGAATCCTGCACTAAAATCAAACAAACTCAAACAAAACTCGTGACAATCTTATTTCTTAGTTTTACAAAATCTGATCAAACGAATCACCCCTAGTAGCAACTAATGATTCATCAAACCTAAAAAAAAAATCCCTCCCCCAGCCACTACGACGGGATCCGATGACGTTTTACCACACAAACGTTGTATCCGTGCTGAGCACCAGTGGCACCAGGATTACCAATCCCCAAACTGCGCTTTGATGCTTTGATCGTTTGATCGCAGCCACAATTGAGTTCGTTGTGTGTTGGCACGTTCGCTGTGATGTCAGAGCGCTGTGTTAGTGTTAGTGTTAGTGGCAGTAATGGTCCACCTCAGCACTTTGTATCAGCTGTGTCGTTGGCAACCACCGATAATCTTGGTAGTGTTGTAAGTGGAGAAGTTTTACCAAGGAATACATTTTTTTTACTAAATATGCAAGTGGTATTTTTCTAACTCTATGTTTTGTGATAATGCCGAGAATCGATCCTGCCTATCTTGAACTACAGTCTGAGGCACTGACCAAAAGAGTAACACACCCAAAGTATGTATTGTAGTCTGTAGGCTACAAATAATCAAACTCAAAATTCCTACTTGTAACATAAAATAGTTTTAGCTAACATAAAGTGGGTAGTTAATTGGGGATTAGTACTTGATATGGGGTTTCCACATTTATGGAGAGCACACGCTAATCTAAAGGTTGTCATACTTGGAAGAAAACTGTGGAAATGACAACCGAGTTTTGTCTTGTTCTTTCCTAAAGCATTGATTTAGATAACTACTATGGTAAAAAAAACTCCAGAGGGTTTAAAAGGTGGATTTAATGGAATACGTAAATTTTGCCAAAACTGATTATGTTTTTTAAATATTCAATACAAAACGTCATCAATTTCTACAGGCCTGACAAAATGTACCTCTATACATTTTATATGTTATGTTGACAAACCAATACAATACTCTGTGGTACAAACCATAACTAATAGACGTATCACATGTGTATTTCATATTAAAACCTACTTCAATGTCTTTCTTCGAAATATTGTGTTGGCCCACTAGTTGAGTATGTTCCCTACCAAAATAGTCGTAAATGATGAAAAATGTAATAATTTTCTATATTTTTCTTCAGTAGAATACAAAAACATAATTCAATTATGAAATTAATGTTCACTTGATAATAAATAATCGATTTATTTCAGAAAACTAATTTAAACACACTGGGGTATAATTTGTAACGCGTTTAATTTTAAATAATGTAACGATTGAATACACAAAATAATACAAACTGTAAAGAGACAAAAAAATCAACCTTTCACCAAGCACTTCATCAAATTTTTACTCTCATAAAAGCTTAATTGCAATGAAAATCAAATTTCACCCCAATATAAACAGGGGGCTGACCGCAAGAACACAGTCCATGTCAAGATGATTTATTATGCTGGCTTTAATTGTTAACCGTGGGTCGAGTGAAGGGTTAGGAGATGGGGGAGGGAGACAAAAGCCCCCAAATTGCACCTGTATAATTAAGCTGTACGGAGATACGCTAATATTATCTACCCTGGTCAACAACGTACAATGGTACAATGGGCGGTGCTACCCACTCAAATACAAGATGTCTGTTAATTATTGTACACTCCCTTTGCTGGGGTTAATTTAACTGGATTGTGTTCTTGTTGAAATCAAAAGGGGTTTACAGTATTTAGAATATGTTCATGGTAAAATTGTATTGGTATGAATTAATAAAGATATTAACGGCAGAGTCATTGATTCCAGACCATTTGCATTGAGTGAGCTACAATTACAAATACTACATAATTAATAGAAGGCTTAGATATTCTCTGGATTACGTTGAAAATCTTGTAAAAATCATGTTGTTTATGAGTGAGGGATTTAGGTAGAACGACTCTATCAGGATAGGTAATGAGTCCATGAGTGCTTAAAAGCATTGTTGCAACAAAACAAGTCAAAATATAAAAAAAATTCTACTAAAAATATAATTATTTCAAAAGGTAAATGAATATCATTGCATGGTTAAGTTTTCAGGTGTCCCATGGAATGTGTCTCAAATTGATTACGTAAGAACGGCTTAGCGTACAAGGATGAAATAAAACTATTTAACTCTAAATCAACCATAAGGATGAAAATTCCAAAAAATTGTAAATTTAAAATTCCCATGTTATTCTTATGGAGAATAAGTAAACTGTTGTAGTTTGCTTGTTTATAAACATATTTTGCCCAAATTTGGAAAATGTTTTTATTTCTTACTAACTATTAACATTTTACATAAAAAACACTTTTACCCTCCCTGTTGCAGAAAACCTAAGTTTGTGTAAAACTGATTCTATTTAAATAGGGAATAAATGTGATATTTTTAAGGAGACATTTTAGTGTAAATCCATTCAGTGAAATGGAAATTCGCTTAGTCTGCAGGTTTGCTGCGGCGGGGGTATTAAAGGTATTTAATAGACAAACATTAGGTGAATACAGAAATGAATTATCTTTTTCCGTTTCAAAATGGCGGCAGTTTATTTTGAAAAGATCAATATGTTGTTAATGCTCTGTGTCTCCTATACCTATGCACAAAGCCCTACTCCGGTTGAATGATATTACTCGTTATGAAATTATCTTTACTGCGATATGCTACAAGTAACGGTTTTTCAAAATAATAAAAATTAAAAAAAAAGATGTTTGAAAATTTTCAAATGCCCATAGTTTAATATTTTCAAATACGTTAAGTGGCACATCATTTTATAGGATTTTTTATTCTTAACAACTTTGTTACTTTACACTTACTTCGTATCTCTTTTAGTTTTTGTGTAAATTACAAAAAACCTAATTCTCCTATATCGAATTCATGTTATTTGGGTTTAACCCTAAATTTCTACCATCTAAATTCATTCTTAAAATATTCATTTGGTCTAAAATCTTACAACCAACAAATTTATTAGTTTGTTCAATCTTTACCGTATTCGTATGGTGATTTCTCACTCCAAACGAAATTCGACTTTCACATACCCCAAAACCAAATAATTGAGGTGACTTCACAAAACGATTTCCGTCATTATAGATGTATCAAAAGTACACCGTTGCGAGTTGTTTGCAGGCAAAACATTGTGTACACAGTTATGCACGCCGAATCACAACAGCACACGCCAAATTTACTGGCTTGATTAACCCATTGTGAGTCCAGAGACAATAGATCCGGTCATCCAATCAGCTCATTGGTTACTGCTCTTCGTTTAGGAGGGGGGGGGGGGGGTTAGAGGATAAAGTAATGTATGTTTGTAAATAATTTGGTTTGATGGACAATGGTGAAATTTAGAGATATGTTTTTTGTAAGGCGTTTTTTGATGCGAAGGGAAACATGTAAACATTTTGAAATTCTATATTTGCAGGAGAGGGGTGTGAAGTATTACTATACGTTTGTAAATGGCTCACAGTTGTTTTTGAACATCAAAAGGCGAAATTTCAATTAAAAAGCGAAATATAAACAGTGAACAATGTTCACCATGTAAGTTCTTCATATTCTGTTCTCCATTTACGGATTTTTTTACAAAATGCGATTTGATTGTCACTAAAAAGATAAATTTTGTTTCGTATTAAAAGAATATTAAAAGAGATTTCACCGATTTTATTGTATTGGTAGTTACGAATTTATTATCACCTTAGATTTTGTTGCAGCCATAGTATAACTATATCTTTTGGAGATCTAATGATATTGGTATGGTTTAAAAGGGATTAAAGTAAAATTGTACCACAAAATCTTAAAATTAACTACATCAAAACGCATTAATTATTAGAAACATTTCGTGTACCACATATCATTCCGTTCACACTGAATTTGGTAGTTATGTATTTTTAATCGTCCAAGATTTAGTTTCGAATTGATAGGTAGCATCATTAAAAATTGTTAAAAGTGTTGTTTATTGCAAACCACCAAAGGTTGAAAATACATCATTTAACCAATTATAAAAAAAGTAACCAGAATTATAAAAAATAAATACATAAACGTGACATTTTCCACACCAACATTCAAATATATCGGTAAAACCATTCAAGTAAGCTTTAAATGAATGATTAAAGGATAACTATTGACCTGGAAACATTTACTTATCTTACAATCATATATTAACTACACATAAGAACATAACATTTGAAGTTAAATTACATACAGTATTTATTTATAATTTATTACTGTGCTGTTTAGAATGAATGTCATAGTTAAACAAATTGGAGTCAACTAATAAGCGTGGAGCTCATGATTTAAGGGCGCTAAAGATGAAAAGCTGTATCAGTTTTGGTGTGACGCTGGCGACCGTTGCCGCACGCGCGGACACACTGGTCGATGTGGTGAAAAATACATCCGCCCTCAGACCGGCCAGCTAGCAAGGCTGTCATTGGTGGGTCTTCTCTTTACACTGATATACACTACAGGTCGTACGGTGATAGTGTGCAAAATTTGGGGTTTGATAGATAAGGATTTTATACGGTAATTATCTCATACTTCGAATTGATTTTGTCCTCGACGAGTTATCGTCAATAATTAATCAATATGCTTAAGAGTTTGTTATTTTTTGTATTGGTACACTTTCATCTCATAATACCACCAAATATATCTTTCAAAAGTATATATATTAGAATAATAAACTTTATGTAAGAATAACAAATAATGTTCTATTAGGAGGATTAAATCGATACAGTACTATGTTTATGTTTCTATAGTTAACCAACATTGAATCCTACATTATTTAATCGATTTTTATATTGAATTCAATAGTTAAAGAATAGGTTCAGATAATTGTCTTTTAAGTACATTCAAATTCTTCACTCTCACCAAAAACAACCTAAATAAAGTACTTGTACAAGTAATAAACATAATAAATTGAACCAACGTATATTATTATGCAAATTTCATGTAATGTCTTGGAAACCCAATAGTATGATAACCATTATCCACAGTGATTTCAAATAGACTATTTTTATGAAATATAAAAATCGTTAAACATAAATCCTTAGAAATATTCACACTATAACACTATAGCTACCGATATAAAAGTTACCTTTGCCCCAAATCACGACGGATACCCCTCGTAGTGGTCAGGCGGGAATAATGAGCGCATAATTTGTCACTCAGGCCATTAACCATTGCCCATTAACGGATTATGACAAACGGGGCATCCGAATGGACCAAATTGGGCCATATATTATCCGAAGGAATTAAATATTCGAGCTGTAAGAGCTGGGTGGAAGAAGGAGGGGTAACGCGACACCCAGCTGTCGCCTGACTTATCACCTCCAATGACCAATGGACAATGTCCAATGACCGATGTCCATAGCCAATGTTCATGTCGATGTACAGTTCTTGTCTGGCATCATCTGCGTGTAACATTTCGGAGGGTTTGGGGTTTGATTGATAACCGGGTCAGTTCGGTCAACGATGTTATATTGCGTTGGGAGGTTTGAGATTTCATGATTGTTTTATTTAGTGTTGAGAAAGAGTATTTATTTTGAAGTATCAAAATGAAATGTTATTACATTCAATATAATTTACCTTTTCTCGGTAGCCTATGGTGTAAAAAGTTAGAGTTCTGCAGTACGCGTTTCATGTCAATTACGACACAACTTCAGCTGCGTCATTATACAGGTTAAAATCTTTTACGTTTTACGTTAATATGTGACAAACACTATCAATGTGAGCTAATGTTTTAACCTGTATGTTGACGCAGCTGAAGATGTGGCAGAACTCCAACTTTTTACACTCTAGGCTACCGAAAAAAGGTAAATTATGCTGAATAATTGACAGGTGTATAGGCTTTAGTAACAACTATTTGTTTAACGATAAAGGTTTGGAGGGTAAAGATTTACAGTGAATTTACAGTATGCCAATACTATAGGAAAACGGTATACACATAAACACGTGTAGTGATTTTTAATTTTATTCCATTGAATTTCCAATTAAAACAACTTTTAATATTGTCAAACATCTCATATCTTATCATTCTAACATCTACTAGTCTGAAAACTGTCTGATAACATTTTTTTAAATTAAATTTTTGACTAACGTAGACCAATTGGTATTTGATAAAAAAAAATTAAATTATTGGTTGGAATAAGTTAATTACTTTTAGCTTCATTTGCGAACCGGGGATTTTCCCAACACAAGTTTTCATGCTTATATACCGTTTTATTCTTGCTACAATACAAATCCTACATACCTGAAAATAATTTAACTGTATTACAATATTTTGCTCATCTCGACCCTATTTAATCCTGGCTACCTATCCAACGTTATCAACCAGTCACTTTTAAGTTTGCAACGAAGCAACTTATCCAAACCAGAACAAACTCACACCACCACAATACAAAACAAGGATGGCCACAAAAGGTGGATCACAATAGCTGTAATTACTGAGGTCCAGCACATCCCCCGTCAAGACGTAGGTGCGCTGCACGAGGGGAGAATGATTGACAAGTCTATTGTGTCTAGACCTGACCAACGGTTGGATCTAACCTCCGACCTGGTGAAGTCATCTGGGTCTCTTCCGGGTGGGAAATATTACTATGTGAAATATGCGGATATGATAATGTTGTGCATTATAAGTGACTGTCTCTGAGGGGTAGGAAGCTCAGTAGCTCAGTAGCTCAGTAGCTCAGTAGACGTGTGAAGTGGCAGTATGAGCTTGAGCGTCGCAGTGAGTACATTGGGGAGAGTCATCACTTTATACTCTACCTCTTAGAGTACAGTAGTATATTAGTTAATTGTGATTTTTGTAGCTTTGGTGGTTAAGGTTATTCATTTATTGGTTTCAGCTTTGACTATTATTAGTCATTGGCTTTAGCGTGCTATCCTGTTAACTTAAATTAAAGTGTACATTATTTTAATTGTTTCAATTTACTATTTAACTCTATTTGTGCTCATTGACTATTTGTGTTAATTTAACATACTGTATAGGTGGGTTTAAAATATTGCACTACAATCTTTTTGGGAAAGTTCAGTTGTCATTGGCAAATATTATTTTTATAAATTGTGCTGATCAAATTCATTGGTTTTAGAGTAGACCAATTAAAACTACAAGCGTGAATTTAAATACAGTAACCATATATCAACCAATAAGTAGTAATAATTAATATAAATAATATAACATAGGTAGTGATTAATAGGGAATTAAGGTACTATTTAAATATTTAGTTGCCCTTATTTTGATTAGTTAAAACCGTTTGTACCACTTGTGTCCCCAAATATTGCATACCCTATACAGATATAGAGGATATTAAAAATAAGTATTGTAAACTTACGAATATCTCAGAATTCATTGCCATACTGATGGATATTGATTTATATTGATATATAGCGTTTCTTTAGCTTAACATCCAAGGATATTGCAAGGTAATGAAACACTATCTTTCAATGAGACATAGGGCTACCATTTTTTAAATTTTGAAATAATTTTTTTAATCTAATAGTCGTAATACAAAAAAAAGGAAAGCCTGACCTTATGATACGTTAATGCTATTCACGTTGAATGATTTGCTATATGTTTTTCAATGAATTTTACTAAGAATCACAATCGACTCTTGCAATGTTTCCAATATTGGACCGGTTCCAACAAGTTGTTGGCAAAACACACCGCAAAACAAACACTCGGCTCACACAAGGGGGAGTCTATTTGCACATCTCGAAAACACTTGTCACAAGTGTCAAACAAGATAAGTCCCTTGGGGGAGGATGATACAGAAGACACCCCTCTCCCCCCACCACTCAATTGTCTCTTGTTGGTGTCATCAATGACATGTGCTGCAAGATTAATGAACCTTGATACCCTTGAGTATTTAGTGTTCACCCCTCACTACAAACGCGCTGTTCAGTGTTCATAGCCCGGCCAATGTTTCAATAACTGCTAATACCCCACATTCATCATAGGGTCGAGTGAGTTACTGATTTCGTTATTGGAAAATGACTTTTGGATTGCTCATATTTTACGAGGGACAAAACAGATATGGAAGAGGTCTTCGTAATGAATTCGTTTGTAAATTGGAGTTTTCGGATTGGAATACCGAAGGGGATGGTATTCATAACTTTTACGAAAGATGTTAAATATTATAATGAATATGAAAACTAACCTAGATGGTTGGGGAACAGGGGAATAGGGGAACACGAACTATTTTTAAAGAGTGATCTTGTAAAATCTATGATTCATATTCCTTTGATGCAAATTAATATACTAATTTAAACTGCATTATTGATTGTAATGCTATGAATTTATCTGTTCCCATTTATTGTTTAAGTACTAAAAAAAATTGTAATACAACATTTTTGCATAATTAGAAATTTTGGGAACAGTCCTTTGTTAAGGGGTGATGCATAGTAAGAAGATTTTGATCGATTGAAAGAAAATATTATTGTGTACGGTGGGAAGTTAATTAATGCGAAACCTAATTAAAAATATTAAGATCCTTAAATGTGACTTGAACAATGTTATACATATGCAATAACGGTTCTCTCTTTTACATAAATTATTTTATACACTCTTCTCCCTTTGTAATAGGGATTGGGAAATCTAGGCAAAAATCATAATGTAATTTTTTTAATTTTAATTTTTAATCAGCTTAATTTTAATTTTTTGTTAAATTTTTTCAATTTGTTCAGTTCCATCTAACTTCTTAAGTTAAATACCGATACACAAAAGTCGGTATATTTACAAAAGCCACAGGGCTACTAAAGGTTGAAATCCTACATCTCTCTTTTACGTTATTAAAGTTTTTACACATCTTATTTCCTAATTGAAATTAAAATTAGATTATTTTAAATATACATATATAATACAATACGAAAAAAAATTGAAATCTTTTTTTTAACCAATTGTCATTGCTATTTCATTTGCACAGTTGTTGCTTTACGATGATATAGACAGAGACAAGAGGTTAGTTCATTTCCTCAGTTCCGCGTTGCAAGTTTCAGTTCCACAGTTCCACAACTCATCACATTGATAGAGCGACATCGTGGTGTGATTGTTGGAACATTAAAAGCTTAGATCTGTACCAGCACAGTTGTCAGCTGTACGATGATAAAGAAGAGGTTAGTTCATTTCCTCAGTTCCGCGTTGCAAGTTTCAGTTCCACAGTTCCACAACTCATCACACTGATAGGGCGTCATCGTAGCGTGATTGTTGGAACATTAAAAGCTTAGGTCTGTACCAGCACAGATGGAAGCTGTACGATAACATTAAGAAGAGGTTAGTTCATTTCCTCAGTTCCGCGTTGCAAGTTGCAGTTCCACAGTTCCACAACTCATCACACTGATAGGGCGTCATCGTAGCGTGATTGTTGGAACATTAAAAGCTTAGGTCTGTACCAGCACAGTTGTCAGCTGTACGATGATAAAGAAGAGGTTAGTTCATTTCCTCAGTTCCGCGTTGCAAGTTTCAGTTCCACAGTTCCACAACTCATCACATTGATAGAGCGACATCGTGGCGTGATTGTTGGAACATTAAAAGCTTAGGTCTGTACCAGCACAGATGTCAGCTGTACGATAACATTAAGAAGAGGTTAGTTCATTTCCTCAGTTCCGCGTTGCAAGTTGCAGTTCCACAGTTCCACAACTCATCACACTCATAGAGCGACATCGTAGCGTGATTGTTGGAACATTAAAAGCTTAGGTCTGTACCAGCACAGTTGTCAGCTGTACCATGATATAAAGAAGAGGTTAGTTCATTTCCTCAGTTCCGCGTTGCAAGTTGCAGTTCCACAGTTCCACAACTCATCACACTCATAGAGCGACATCGTGGCGTGATTGTTGGAACATTAAAAGCTTAGGTCTGTACCAGCACAGTTGTCAGCTGTACGATGACATTAAGAAGAGGTTAGTTCATTTCCTCAGTTCCGCGTTGCAAGTTACAGTTCCACAGTTCCACAACTCATCACACTGATAGGGCGTCATCGTAGCGTGATTGTAGGAACATTAAAAGCTTAGATCTGTACCAGCACAGTTGTCAGCTGTACGATGATAAAGAAGAGGTTAGTTCATTTCCTCAGTTCCGCGTTGCAAGTTGCAGTTCCACAACTCATCACACTGATAGAGCGACATCGTGGCGTGATTGTTGGAACATTAAAAGCTAGGTCTGTACCAGCACAGTTGTCAGCTGTACGATGATAAGGAAGAGGTTAGTTCATTTCCTCAGTTCCGCGTTGCAAGTTGCAGTTCCACAACTCATCACACTGATAGAGCGACATCGTGGCGTGATTGTTGGAACATTAAAAGTTTCGATTAGCCGAAGTGATTGGACCAACTCCGCTGATCCATTAACAGAAACTGATAAGACAACTTTCCCCCTCAACCCCCCCCCCACACAGTGTCTAGCCACCCCAGTCTTCCATCTATGTCAGACACATTGATATTTCTCTCCAAACTTTATCTTTCTCAAGTGAAAAATCTGTCCTCTCGGATCTTTCCGATCGATAATCAACGTCAGGCTTAGGCGTTAGACTTAGTAGTTAACTAAAAAGTTCTTGATTTTTCAGAGAAATAGTAGTGTTGCTTATAAACCATGATTGTAAAACAAGTTGTATTTTAAACGCTAAAAACTACCTTTTTAACATTTTGGGGTTGAATAGAATGGTCACAAGTATTACAAATGGGATATAAATATAATTTGAAAACCAATGTAATGTACAATATATGTACCAATATGATGCGTAATTTCGTACAATATAATGTACCAATATAATGTATGTATCACAAAGTTATCCAAGTGAAACTTAAAATAGAAATGTTTCAGTAATTTTTACATGTTATGTTAAATTTTATACCTTAATAACTTATTACGTATTCTAAAATTCCCAAATTCATTGCAATAGCACAAAATTCTTCGATGCTAAGGTTCTAAAGACGTGAATATTATAGTATAAACGTAAATTGATTAATAAAAAAAAAATTCCCGATCTTATTCCTAACTTCTGTGATATAACAATTAATTATCTTAACTACAGTAATCAGCAATGAAAAAATATTTATTATTATTTATTTGAGTATATTAGTGTTACTTATTGCCAATAAAGAAAGAATTAATACTTGTAATTGGATAAACTTTTGATTTACCTTAAACCTTAACTAAGCTTTACTAAAAACCTGTCGAGCTATAGACTATTGATTTCAATTTATCTATGCTTAAGCTAACTAAAAACATTTTAGATAAATTTTATGATTTCAACTAAAATGTTTTCAAATGTTGTGTTAAAGCCGGTGAATCTATAGGCTCTTAATTTATCATTATCTGTACTAACCTTTTTGACATAAACTGTACTAAACCTTCTGACATATCTGTACTATCCTTTATAGCATAGTCCGTACCAACCCTAATGACATAATCTTAACTAACATTTCTGACATAATATGAACTAAACTTTATGACATTTGAATTTTAAATGATACTTTACACACGAACCACTAATTACACCAGTATCAATGCGAGAAGTTATTCAAATTTTGTCAATGCCAGGTCGCTTACAAAAAATATAGTTTTCTCCCAACTCCTACACAACTACACTTCTACACTCCTCCAACTTTCCATTTTGCAAAACCAAACACAACTCTGCGTACCCAACTGTGCCGAGTTTAATTAATATTTCACTGTGTGAGCACAGGCCCGGACAGTCAACACAGGACAATGTAATGTATTTATCTCAGGGCCTAAGTCCCTCAACAATAGCTCGTGCTCAACTTTGATTACTTCTACAATGCCTCGCTTAGCCACAGATTATTCTGGCTCTGCCAATTTAATTATATCTTCTCAACAGTTGTACAACTGCGTCCCCCGTTTAGTATTGCTCTGTTTTGGCTTCCGGAGTTTGATAGTTTCAATGAGCGTCTAATGGTTTAACTTGTTATATTGGGGGATGTAAAAGTGTTTGAATGCATACTGTGAACATCAAATGCCATAGTAAAAATCTCTGGTCCCTTATCTTCATACAGAAATGCAGTTTATTCGAGTAAAATACGATTTTTTTTAGTCATACAAATTTAGTTCGAATTCATTTACAATATTCCTTACAGTAAAATTACTCTTGTCGATTGTGATTTTATAACACGTTATTAGGAAGTTAAAGACGCGCCTTCTCTCTAAGCAATTCTCTATCCATACAGAGTGGAAAAACAAATACTCTTTATTTAAATCGCCTACATCAAATTAATCATAGATTAATTTAACATGAAAAGTTAATTTGCTTTGTCGCATTAATTAAAATAATATGACATTCTAGTTATATTACAGATCAAAATATCTTAAGCTAATGCGTTATTTTCGAAATATAAGGGATTTTTTTCTATACACATAATTCGATTATTCATCAACATTTTAATTCACTACAATTTCACTGTACTTGATCAACCCCATCATTCTAGTTTTATTTTCTTTATTCGGTGTCACAAAGGTCACTCGTCTCTAATGGGGACCAACGGTCGAGGATCGTATTGTCTTTAAACCAACAGATCGTTCAACCACTCGAATCATCGAATGAAGGGTCGATAACAATCGTATGAACAATCGAATCATGTTGGCACCACTGATGCATTGTTGTGAGCGGACAACCGCAGTATTACCAACTGCGGACACTTACGATTGTTTCCAAACCCTCTAATATCGGCCCTTAAAATAACCCGGTTTCCGCGCCATTTCGTGAGAAGCACCCTCGCTTTTTGCTGCCCTCGCCGCCATCTGGCCCCGGAAGAAACTCACGACTGATTAAACATTGGTAACGATGAAAAATCGCCAACTTAATAACTCCGGTCGAGAAGTCTTGCGGGTTCTGAAGATTGGGATTGTTTAAGGAGTTTGCTTCGTTTGTTTTTGATTGGCTGTTAAGTAAGACTCAAAAGTTTTTGTTTGGCTTGCAATCCATATACCTAAACAAGCGCCGAGTAGTAAAAATTAAATGACCTTTGGACTTTTTAGTTACCAAATTAAACAAAAATGGACAATAGTTAGCACTATACGTTTTGTTTTTGCTAAAAACTGTAGCCTATTTTTATTTTGTAACACAAAAACAGTAAATTTTATTAATAATTTTTTTAAATACTCTCCATTGAAATGGCGTCCATACAAAGTAGGTATTTTAAGCCAAGTATGAATGGAGATGAGTGTAGGATGAGTGGCACGATCTAGAAGTCTTGTAAATGACTAAGGCCGACATATTCCTTAGACACAGCTATTAATTAATACAGCTAATGGTAACTAAGGGACCTACAGTTTATAGTGGAATCCGAACCACATCTTTGCCTTGGTATTAACGAATTGGGCAAGTTATCAGGATAGTACTGTGGATAGTCATAGTACTCACTAGTGCGGACGTTACCACACCAGGGAGTATCACATCCACAGTGCATGCCTATAAATATTTACAATTCGTGACCTCCCAGAGTCCTAGTAGTTGGATTACAGGACGACGCCACCGCCCCAGTCTAATTGATGTCGAAAGTTAATTTACATTTTTGTAAAACGCATAAACCAAGCTTAACGTTATTTATTGTCAGAAATGACTAATGAAGCCACAATCTTATCGATTTTCCCACCGAACAACGTGCGTATCAGTTCCACAACTCCGTTATAAAATCCGAAAAAGTCAAAGTGTGAAATATTCATATTGATGATCTCGAATTTCTGGTGGTTCTTGCGTAAAACCCAGTGTGGACAGATGAGGGTAGTTTTTACCCCCGGCTACTGGAGTATTGTGATAGATTATTGATCTGGTTTTTGTCCGTCCCAGGTGCGAAAGATGCCCCAAACACGAAGCTCGGGAGATGAAAGCTGTCACAGATACAAACGGTTGTTCACAATAAGACTGACACCTCTGGTATGGGCTGTGATTGGCCTACGAGTCGAGACTGGCGAAAATAGGAATAAAAAGCAGATGAGTTCAAAGAGTAGCTATAGGAGGTGAAATGTATTTTTTCAAACCCGTGTAGTTTCCTTAAAGCTTCCATAATTTCGGGAAAATAGGTTTGAAAAATTGATATTTGACCAATTACTGCGTAAAATAAATGTATAGTTTTATAACTAGAATAACTTCAAATTCCAAATTGGATCCAACACATTATTTTTAAATTTTGAAATTTATAAATTAACCTTCGAATAGGCCTAGTAGTATAAGACGTGTGATTGATTCGTATAAACCATTTCAGAGTGAAATTCTATAGATTCCAAATAAAAATAACAAGAGTTAGAATATCTAGAAGTTAACACAAGAATTTTAACTTTAAGATCAAATGGGTCCTTGGTGGAACTACAAGGAAATACACGGTACCAACTAAATCAATGTATGGAAACAACTGCACAATTAGTTAATTCCATAATATATATAACACATAGCAAAATACTTTGGATCGATACTTGTGGATTACTTAGCCATTACTTAAAATTCTTCTTAAGGTGAAGCCATACAATTAATGTTTAATCAAGTCATTTAGAAACATTCACTATACAAGTGTATCAATCCACCCAAATTCCCACGTGTGTAACTATGTTTTTGCTGAACCCTGCAATGAAAAATCTAAACTAAAACATTAAAATCTATACCATAGAAATCCAAGAGGGTCGTTCACCAAAAAAATGACAAGCCGAGGGGAGCGAATTTCAAAAACCACCGGAAACGGATGAAATTTTACGGAGGCTTTTTCCAAAGGGGATAAGGGGTGGTAAGTAAAGTTTTATGTTTAGCAAGACGATAAGCGGGGGCGTCAACCCTAACCTCACCCTTACACTTCCAAAACATTGGCTGCAATTACATAGCTGGCGCTGTCATCTCTATTATCCCTCAAAATTGGTTTCCTCTGCCCCATCTACATCTCGGTAGGGGCCCAAGAGTCAAAGGCGAGATTCTACAATCAAGTTAGTCGCTTCTGACGCCTCGCGCCGCGCAGCGTAGTCAAATTAATCTTTATTGAGCTCTAGACATAAAGTGTTCGGTTCGTCACCTCGGAAATGCCATGTGTCAGCTTCTTTTGTTACCATCACGAAAGTTGTAGATATCTGTAGCTATTGTTCTTACAAGATGTACGTAATTTTTTTGTCTGTCAATTGTATTGGTACATAATTTGAATAGCCAAAGTCACTTGAGAATCACTTGAGAACATCGATGTATATAGTCTAATTAGCTAGGTTATATACATCGATGCTTGAGAACGACAATGTTCATACAACTGTTGGGGAATTGTTCTGTCAATTAATAATTCTGCATATTTGTGGGTCAATAGAAACTGGGATTATAATTGAAAACAATTAGTCAGGGAACTTCAAAAAAATAAAGTGAACAAGGATTTTATTTTTTAGAAAACGTGATAACAATATCTCAATCGTGAATTGTGTGGTATATTCATAATGGAATAAACAGAGAATTCACATCCCTAAACATTTGTTTCGTGAATGATAGTTAAAGATTTGTAATAAACTAGAAACATTTGTCAGTTAAAACCTCAACTAAATTATAACTTAGACTAATACAGCTAATCTCAAATCAATAAAATATTGAAATAATCACTTTACCTGTATTATGTTTCTGATTTTGCAGTGAATATGAAAGATAAGCAGACTTTTAGTGCATTACAAACCGTTTCGGAGGTAAAGTATTTAATTTTGAACAGTTAAGCGGGTTGATTCCCTACTCAACAATATATTCCTGAGACGAAATATCCAATGAGATACCCCTTCGATAACACTAAATTAACAATAGCCGTTTAAAAAGGCGTGTCCAAAGCCATAACTCTATCAAAATCCATTCCAACGATCGGATTTACATTAATAAAACATTTGAAACCGATACAGTGAGAAAGAAGACCCGAAGAAGCGTCCCGCAGGAGAAAAATGCGAACTGCAAAAGTAGAAACTGCTTTCACATGCGAATCCCAGCGCATTTACATCTGAACAGAAGCTGAGCATCTTTTGCACAGAACGAGTTAAATATCGAATTTCTACAACTGTAGTATGCAAAATGGGCGAGAGAAAGGATTCAATAGAATGTTTAATGCACCCTCGGACGAATCTGATGGTTTGTCCGTATTAACATAAGGTGTGCGGTAATTCGATCGTTTGTGTACGGGCGCTTCCTTGGATTTAGATGTAGAATCGTCCTTTAGAAATTACAGGAAGTCTATAAATCAAACTATTTAAAGGTTTATAAGAAAACGGCTCAATTTGTAAGATAATTTATTTTTAGCGTATTTTACTACATAAAAATACTGTAAGTACAACGTTATCTCTTGTCTGTAATGTGACAGTCTTAAATAATGTATGTTTATAAAACGCCATAAAATAGAACTAGACTTAAGAGGAAAGTCGGTGAAGAAAAAAAAACAACTGTCACAGAAAATCAACATAGCTCATTATGTCGATTGACCTTTTTTACTTCGAAACAACTAAACGAAGCACACTTAAATGAAATGTTGCGGTATCGATGTATGCAGATTGGCCAATCACAAACTATATGATTATGACTGGCCAATTAAACAATCGGTTAATCTAGCGTCACTTAATTATCCAATGACGATTAATCAACAACATGTCAGAAACTACAGCTCGGTCTTTATCACCAGTGATAACTCGTTACTGGAACTGATTAATCTGAATGTTTAAACACACGATAATGTTTTGACTGTGCGGTTTCCTAACCAACGCAAACTGATTATTTTTAGCAATCATTTTACACTCAATTAAAAAAGTGTTGACTTTCATATGTTATGTTAGCTTTTGTATTTTGCCTTATCTCTGCAAGATCTGTTATCTAAGTGATACTGTTGTATGTGTACAAAGGGCACCCAAGTAGTTAATGTGCTCACCTTCAAATCTGAAGGTCGCTGGTTCGATCCTATTTTAGATGGTAGATTTGGTGGAGTTTTCAGTGAGGTATCAATATTATGGAAGCTATCTAAAGAAAAGGTCGATGAGGTAGTAATATTACTAATTTTCGGGCTGTTCTCTTACAAAACACAATAATAAATACACACTAAATTGAAAAAGTAATAATTATAAAACTTGATAGATGTGATCAAAGCTTAATTGTGTGATGTGAAAATTACCCTTGACTTAAAACATTAGTATTTATTGTAAATAATATTACCATTATCAGTCTAAAGTTGGGAGGTGTAATTAATACTAGCGTAGAACTATTTGCACGAAAACATGTTTTCCATTATCCTAGTTTTGGGATTTGGTAGTTAATTGATAGTTGATTCTTTACGGGAGGCTTATTCTTGATTTAATGTGTAATCTCAAATCCTAACCAGCTACTAGTTCTTTTTTATTCTTTTTCTTAAGTCGCAAGTTCAGTTATAGGCCTATATTACTCATAAAATGTCGTAGTATGTTTTAAAAAAATTGTGTCCTGATAAAATACTTTTCACAACACACCCCCTTAATATGCAAAAATGTCGACTCGAGCAAAACGCTACAAACATTAAAAACTTCCAGCTTTTAACCCGAAGCTTTGAGATTTCGGTGTCACGATGGGATAAACACGTATTTTGCCCGGTTTAGAGTTTTGCGGTGCTCAAGTGATGAGGGGGGAGGGGGGGGGGGGTAAACTCACAAGCGCCATCGTGCCCGTCTGCGGTTACAACATAATCTCAAACTCTGCAACTATAAAATTTTAATGACAAACTCGGCGAATGACAAGTTGGAAGGGGTAAAACCACCCCTCCTACCCCTTTCTCTTCCTCCCGCTATGCCACATTTAGTTAAATCTGCACGCCCAGATGACTCACTGAAAGTTATATTTGCCGGCGCAACTTTCTAAAGCTTGATGCTTTGAGCCTATCCCGCCCAGGTTAACGAGTAGTTGTGGAGTTACGCTGTGTTGGGTTGGGAATCTCAGTAATTGCGATTCTGTAGCGTTTAGCGGAGCTGAAACGGTTGTAATTGGTGGTTTGGGTTGCGAGTTGTATGGCATAATTTTGTGTATTTCTGAGCGAATGTGAAAAAAAATTTGGATAATTTTGTCATAAACCTTAATTTACCTATGGAAAATACTAGGACAAGAGCATTCTTTGCTTTTTATTAAATTAGTAACTAAATATCTGACATTTTATTTTGGCCATGATATAAAATCAAATTTGTTAATGGCAAATGGAAGTTATAGGGACCTCTATACGTAGAAAGTCACATACCTGGATTAAGGATCTATTTTCAGTAAATGCATTTCCAATATCAATATACGGAAAGTAAATAAAATAAACGTCTTTTAACACTTAACCGTTATTTTAAGTGTTATAAGACGTTTCTAATTTAAGTTTTCATTTAACGCTTCATTTAAGTGTTATAAGACGTTTCTTTTATTCACTTTCCGTAAATTTCATAAAACGTACAATGCTGATCAAGAAGTTATTTAATATCAATATTACAACTGATGGACTTTTGTTCGTACTTTAAAAATGTTACTTGATCGAAGTCGCAGTTTTTGTACTTTTTAGACATAGTGTAAAATTAACTGTTCATTAAATAATACATTTTTCAAACTGCACAATCTTCACAAAGTTCCACCATACCTTATGACCTAATTGCCATCAAGTTTAATTTTGAGTGCTTATCTAGACGGAGACTTAAAAGAAAGCAAAATCTCCCCCTAGTAACTGTGTAAAGCCTTAAGTGAATATAAGCTAATTTATCAGTGTAATTCTAGCTCATTTTCTAAATTTACACATACAATTATCCTTCTTACAACTATTACACAATCATCACCCCTACCAAAAACTAACGGAAAAATGAAATCGTGAAAAAATCGCAATCGAAGGGTTTGAAAACTGAGATGTTGACGGGGATTGCTGATTGACAGACTGATTGTCACCAGTTGTTTGGCAACTGCCT